ATGGCTCACTCATCTCCTCAGCCCCATAAAATGCATCATAAAAATGCCTTTTTACTGCCTAGTAAAGAAGGTTCAAGTATATAACTGCATTTACATGAATGTTCAGGACAGTCAGATTTGCCACTTACGTATTACACCTTGAATTCTATTTTTTTCCTTGAAATGGGAATGAATCCAGTCATACCACACTTGCTCTTTCCCCAGAGAGACAGGAAAGATTTCACTGAGACAGAAAAACATCATGGTTTCACTAAGATCCCATTAAAACAAACAAACAAACAAACAAAACAGTGGCTCAAATAGGTGAAGGTGGAACAAGCAGCTGTTCCCTATTCTGTGCTCTATAGGAAATCTGGGCATGAGGATGGTGATTGAAACTGGCCTTTTCTTGTGCAAGTGGAAATCTTCCAAGTAATAGAGCCTGCCTGGACTTTGGTGCTCCAAATGAACAAGACTGCTCCCCAAAATGCTGCATTTCAGCACCAGTTCAGCTACACAGCAAGAACCTCCACTGCAGCTGGTGATTGGGGTTTAGAAAGGTAGTAACAGAAAGAGAGAAAAAAGGGGAGAGAAGCCAGGTGGCTGCACTGCTCCTCAGCCTGGCTCTGGACTGGCACAGCATCCCTGGCATCTCAGAGCCCCTGTTTTTCTCTTCCTTCCATGGGCTCTCCATCCACACCACTTTCCACATTTCCCTGTCAGCAATACATTTCCATGCTTTGAGGGTGTAAATGCTGAACTCTTTGGAAAGAGCCTCAAAGCACACAAAGCAGATGAAGAGCTAACACTCTTTTAGCCCTTCAAAAGCCTAATTTCTGCAAGGAGACAATTTGCTTTGGTTATACAGCAAGTCTATGGAAGCAAAATGCTGCAGACAGGATTTTTTCACAGTGCTGTAGGTGGATCCAGCTCTATTGGGTTAAAGGCAGCACCTCCAACATAGATAAGTAGTTTCTAATAAACAGAAATTGGAAAAGCCTCCAGCACCGAAATGATATTAAAGACTGAATCCTTCTGGGAAAGACATGTGATATTTGTCTGGCAAAATTGCCACCAGCCATTCGATGCTATAATTTGAAATATTGGGTTTTTTTCCAAATTCCAAGCATTAAGTGATGCTCCTGCATGATGTGACACAGCTTCACTTCCTTCTGGAGGAAATCCAGATCAACTTCAGTGGCACCTGCTGAGCACAGGGTGACCTCAACCAGTCTCTAGAAAGACACTCAAATATTAGCACTTTGACTGTGGCACTGCAGTATTGAGATGAGCTTCCACATGATGATGATGCTTGAAGAGGAAGATGTAGCTTGAGACTGAACCAGAAATGTACCCTGGCAGCAACAGGGGACTGCAATCCTTAATTTTGGCGTAGGCAGTTCAGACAACTCCTGCTCTCTGCAAAGGATTGCCCTGGAGAGTTCTAGCCAGGCTCAAACTTCACCCACTGCAGTTGCACAACCACATGCTGATGACTCTTCTAGGGTTAAATTATGTAAACTACTAACTTGCTTGGGGGTCTAAACCTTGTTTTCAAAGATAGCTTGCAACCAGATTTACAGAAATGCTACAGCAATTTAAAATGTCTGCTGGGGTTGATGAAAATGCCCAAGCAGATTAAGGTGTCAAACATTTTTAAATGTTACTCATTACCTGTGCTGGTCTTGGGTCCCAGGACAGGCAGGATCATCCAAGGGAACTTAAAATTTCTCTTTGTTTCTATTCTTGTTTCTTCCACTGATTATTACTTTCCCTTCTGGGATATGTACATAATATTCTCTTTAAAGTATGACAGTCTGTCATCTGGACCCAAGGTGCATCTTTGGGTGCTCATATTTTAGGGATGCATGCTCTGATTTGGAAGACCTGTGCAGTATTCACTGTGGGAATATTATGTTGTATGCCAATGACAATAAATGCTGGCTGGCATTTTCCAGCTTCAAAGCTCTCGTGAACCATTGCAGGGAGCTTGGCTGCTCATCCATTTACCATGCAGTTTGTTAAGTGGGCAGCCTGACAGTGGCAGTACCACAGCTTCATTTTCTCCTAACAGCTTTAGACAGCATTTCTTAAATCAAGACAAAGGCTTTGAAGTCAGTGAGTGGAGAAGGCAGCACTGGCTTTGTTACAGCAATCAGAAATTCAAGTTGAAAGCATGCATGCTAATTGCCAAGACTGCTGCCATATAATTAGCATATACAGTCTGTACCCAAATTAAGAACTGCCTTGAAAGCTTATTATGCCCTAATATATCCCGGTATGTCTATACCTATAGCTGTGCTTTGCCTCACCTTTGCATTTCTCAGCAGCTGTGAGGAGCTGTGTGAAGATCAGTGCTAGTCCATGTGAACAAGGTGGCTGCAGAAATCTGTCCCATGTGCCAGACACTGGGCAATGCCTGCCAGGAGTCCAGGCTGATGTGACTGCCCATCAAGAGCCCTGATAAGAGGGGAGGTGCTGCTCCATGCAGCCACCCTGACCTTCCAGGTCCTCTCTCTGTGTCCTGCTCACCCACAGCTCCAGGTATGTGGCCAAATCTTACATTTTAATAATGGTTGTCATGCCTTCTGTGCTAACAGCCCACCCCAAGGACACAGGCTTTACCCAGCCTGCTGCCTTTGTGGGAAGGGAGTGCAGGGGAAGGAGCAGCCTGCTTGGCTCTGCAGAACAATGCCTCCTGCATCCTGCCTCTTGTCTGCAACTGCAGATCAGCCTCAAGGAAAGGGTAATGCAAATGGTCAGCAGTGCAGCTCAAATTTTATCAGATTTTATTGCAAGAGTATAATTGCAAGTAAGGCAGCTGAACCCTCAGAGTGTCTTGGGACTGTGGGATTGGCAAAAGACAGATTGGAACTATCCACAGCTGCCTCCATTCCTGCACAAAATTCCATAAACATATCAAATGCAGCCCACTTTATTTCTCATGCAACTGTGTTCATTTCTTTCTAGAGCCCTACACCTTGTTCTTTCACTCAGTGTCTTTGTACCTTGATACTGTGCAACAAGCCTTAGATTAATACTTTTTTAACATCTTTATATGTACTGCAAACACGTGCCACATTCCCTGTCTCAGATAATACACTGTGGATAATCATCCTATCTCTCTTTACCTTCATGTAATTCCAGTGACTTTACACAGCTCTGCTCCTGTTTCACTCAGGTGGAGAGGTGCAGAAGCCCAATGGAATAAGGCCAGTCGAGAGCACATCATTCCCTGAAGGATAGGCCAATAAATCCTTGATATTGTCTGTTACAGCAGCTTATTACTATTCAAAAAGAGAGAAGCATCCTTCACTCCAAACGCTTTAGCAGAACTAGAAATAGGAATAAAGAGAATTTATGTGAAGGGGACATAAATGAATATAGAAGAGCCTCCAAACCTGCACTCTGCAAAACTGCATCCTTTACAATCCTCCTAAAAGCTGCTGTTTCTCCACATCTCCACTAAGGTTTAATGGCAGAAGCAATATTGGAAGATCTCTCTGTCAGGATTCATTATTTTTAAGCCACATGCTAAAGTCCTAGTGTTTTCTAAAGCCACTACATGAACAATGAAAATCCAACTATTATTAATCAAATTGGTTTTAAAATCCAGTCATTTTCATTGTCCTGGGAGCAGGGAGGCTGGATGGAGAGCAGTCCGGGACAGCCCAAAGACTGTGGACAAATCATTTTCCCCCCAAATTTTACCTCCTCAATTGTAAAATGTTACAGGACAACTATGTGAAACCCTTAGACACAAGGGTAATTGTAGAAGCTGACGGAGGGCTATTTATGCTTTCAAATTACACACTTAACCTATGATTTTCATCTTTTTTATAGTATTTTATATGATGAGTAATTCAGCAAATGCCTGTGACTCTTAGTTAGGTTGCCCGGGTATCACTATGGTTTTTGGCTGTACCAAATTGCTACAGAATTGGTATAAAATACAATTACCACATGTAAATATTAAAAAGGCAGTGCTTTACCAGAGACACCTGATCATGGGGACGCGCTGCTTTGTAGGGGTTTGGTTTCCAAGATGACCAAACACAGCCTGGATAAACATAAACAGTGAAGGGCTGGGGTGAGATTTAACATTATACTGCACTTACAAGTTTTTATGACTCTATTTACTGGAAGAGAGAACACATAAAGCCTCCAGCATTTCACTATTAGCACAGAAGAAGTCACCTAAGCACAGAGGTAGCTCTCATCCCAAAAGGTAAATCAGGATAATTCCACCAGTGTCAGTGTTCTCTGTAAGGGTCCAATGCCTGGAATAAGAGGGACACATCCCTGGTTCACAGCTGCTTTTACACCCAGATCCGTGCCCCAACAGCAGTCACACCCCAAATGCCTTTGGTGTGCCCCCACCCAGGGCCCTGCCCTTGAGCTCACCAGCTCACTGCACCAACAGTACAGCTACAGCACCACAGAAGGGCTGAGCTTTGCTCTTACCTCAGCTGAACTCAAAAAACCCAGATTTTCTGTGCTTCCAAGGCTCCACTCACAATGTCCTTTTGGTTTGGGAAGTCATTTATGCTGCACAAGCATATGCTCTTCTGGAGCCCTCAAGTAATGAAGGGGGGAAACAGCAGTCCGGTAAAAAAAATGTGCAAATGTAAGTATCAGGCTCAGCTTGTTCCCACCTCCTCACAGCCAGAGTTGAAAGCCAGTCCGTGGCCCAGCCTGGGGCTGTTGCAGAGCTTGTCCACTCAAGGGGAAAGCACAGACAGAGACAGAGCCTTTTGTGTCCCTCCTGGCTCCCATCCTGCCAGATCTGAGCACTCCCAAACCCTCCCAAAGCCAAGACAGCTCTGAGGTGGCTTTTAGTAAAAGCTGGAAATACACTGACCCTCCTCCAGAGTAACAAATTCTGCCTTAAATTATACTTCTTTATCAGTGTGTGAAAACATGTTCATGTAGTTGCACTCAGTGCTGGGCTAACTCTGTCATTCCCAGTATAGCCATGAGCAGTAGCAATACCAAACATCAGGGCTGTGCAATGGTAAGAGCAATATGGTTTATTATATAATGAAGAAAAAAAAAATCATTCTCATCAAGTATTCCCTCACGGGGGTCAGTACAATATAAAGGAAATAAGGAAAAATGTACAAAACAACCTGACAAGAAGGCTCTAGATGAAATAAGTTCAAAGCTCTTGCAAATAGTCTTGCTGGACAGATGCAGAAGGATATTAAATCAAGTAATTTTTCCTCTGCAAAATACAAACTGAAAAACTGATTTTATTTTTAAAAATTCAATTCTGTCTTTACCTGCAGATATTTCAGGTAAGCCAATGCAATTTTAGCTGTGATACATTTTTTAAAGGAGAGATTCTCAGAACTACTGTTTGACCACATTTATTTCAAAGTGGATTGTATTTTCCCTTCCAACTTTACGCAGGTGGTAAGCCCAACCCAAAATAAAAGAAGCTTAGCCACTAGCTTCAAAGAAACCAGGTCCATATTTCTCCATTTTCTGTTATCCTTTGGCAACCATGGCATTTGTTTTTCCATAATCAGCAACAGATCTCCATCTCATCCAGAGCATCCTTGTATATGTGGTTGTAAAATTAAAAAAAAAATCACAAAACAAAAAACACATATAAAACATCAGCAGTGAGAAATTCCTGAAGGTTTTCAAGCCTTGCTCCTAACTCAACTGAAGTCAAGGTACTTCAAACTATTTTAGCTGGATCAAGACCAAATCCTTACAGGACCAGATAAATGGTCCTCAAAAAGCAAAACCATAAGAGTGTTGTAATCCAAATGGAGGAGTAAATGACAAACTTAGCAATGTACCTTGCCTGGCCCCAGCCAACATAATATCTTTGCCCTGGGTATTTCATTTATTCCTGACCCAGGCAAGATTCCCATTGGTTACAGTGAGAGCATCACTTAAGTAATGTAGCAAAGGGACATCAAGCATTAGTAAGCTAAAATATGAATCCATGCTTATGGCAATAGCTTCCCTTCTAATGCCCCATAATGGGCATCTAGGAAAGGAAATAAGCAGCTTTACAGAAAAAAATCTGCTTTTTGTTACACTGATGACCATCCTAAGCAACTCCACAGAAGTTTTCAGGGCTCCTTTCAATGTGCATGAAGAAAGCAAAAAGTCAAAACCAGACCAAGGTTAGGCAAGATTATAACAGATTTACTTATTAGTGCAGAATGCAAAACAAAAGCTAATGCCTAATACAAACAAAATTGTATGACTTTCGTACTCCTCACAACTTCATGGATTCCACATGGTTTATACTTCCCTGCCTTGAAAGTAATGAATGTTTAAATGAGGCATGAACTTTTTGTCTCTAAAAATAACATCCCGAGTTAGCAAGGAATCATTTGAGGAAAAAGGAATTGGAAATTGACATTTAATAAAAAGTTGCAAGGAAATCCCCATTTTAGCATGAGACGAAACAAAGATCCATGGGTCAGATTTGGTTGGGGGGATTTGGGGTGGGTTTTCCTGTTTGGGTTTTGTTGGGTTTTTTGCATCAAGGGAAAGAAAACAATAGCTATGTGGGAGGAAAAACATTTTCACAAATACAATAAATAGTTGTTCTGATCCAAAAGCAAAGTGCGATGTAGCATTTTTCCACTTAAAAACAACCTACAGCATAATGCCTTAAATATTAACAAATCAATTAGTGGTCAGCACAGTAAAATAAATATGAACATATTGATTTACATTTTGTTTCTAGCAGCAAAGGTCATTAACCTACTGGCCAATGTGACAGCTTCACAGAAGTCCTGTTTCTTGGGTTTGGTACTTGGTTTAACATGAGAAAAAGATTAACTGGGTCTGGAAAATGGCACTTCAGCTGTACAGTGTTCTCCCCAGCCCACCCACATCAAAAGGGTTTGCCCAGAACTTGTTTTCAGTGTTTTTTGAACAGTGGTTTGGAGAACACCTTTCACAAAAAGAAATAAAATCAGGATCTACTCAGTATCTAATGCTGACAAGTGTGAGTTTGGATTGTCCTGAACCCTAGGGATAATGGGGAGGTTGGGTGTTTTCTCTTTGCAGTCAGCAACTTCCTATGCTGAAAGGGGAGAGGGAAGATCACAAGCCATTATGCAATGCTGAAGAGGGAGAGGAAAGCTTTGGTAGCTTGCAGGAAGAGCCACAACAGAGCACTGGGGCAAAGTGAGTCTCAGCTGCTTCTCCCAGCAAGACATCTTTCCTTCTGTGGAGGAAATCTGTCCTGCCTTGTCACTTGAGTCCCACTGCCTGCTGTACACCTGCTCTACAAGCCACCACTCTGAAATCACCAGGATGATCACATTTACTTGCACTGAACAGAACAAAGCAAATTCAGGCTTCTCTGCTCAGGGCAGACCGAAGCCACTACTCCAAACCAGACTCAGCCCCAAGCAGAGAGGAGCCTGGAAGAACAGCCCCCTGCACATTCCTCACACAACCTCACAAAAGCACCAGCACATGGCTGAGCTGTGGCACATCTGCACAGCTGGAGCAAACCAGGTTTTGACACCTCCAGCAGTCACTGGAAATGCCAAATGAGAAGCAGATGGCTGGGCTGGGAGTAGGAGCAGTAACCAAAGATAAGTGGAGAACAGCTGATTTTTGGGGCATGTGAAAGCAGGCAAAAATGCCTCCTCATCCCAAGCAATAAGTCAGACACAGCAGTACCTACAGCTCCTCCAGCTCATATTTCACCAAGGGTTGTTTTTCTGCTACTAATTGCAGCCTGTAGGAAATGCCATGCTTTAATTTACAGCCAGAGGGATGTTTAACCACGATGCAGGGATCATTGTGCTGAAGCACATTGTGGTAAGGCTCATCTAACCCCCTCTGTCCCTCTGGACAGTGGTGTCAGACTGGCTAACCTAAGGACAGGACACAAAGAGAAAACCAGAGCCCTTCTGTCAATACAACTGATGAGGGGGAAAGGCTGATGAAAGATTCTGGAAAGGCAAATGTTCTCCAAGGCTACACAGAGGGTGAGGTAGAGGCAGGAAAGCACAGGAGAAACAGACTTACAAAGCTGTCCTAACTGTTCAGTGAGTGCTCTACAACCTGGGCACCTGTTCTACTTTCTCACCTGCTCCAGGGCACAAACCCCATTTAACTGAGTTTTGCACAAAGGAGGGGAAGGAATCCCGTTCATGAGGACACCTATTCCTCTGCCTCTATCTGCAGGGCAAGGATCAGCATAGAATGATCTAGGGGGTTGTTTTCAACTACTTCGCAAGCACTCACCTTGCCTGGATTTAGGAAAGCTGCATTCAGGTTGTATGATGTTCACTCAGGGAGCTGAAGAAAACAATAAGTCAATTTCTGAGGAGCAGCCAAGTGCAACAGACCTTTTGAAGGTGGACTAGGAAGATGAATAAAGACTATCTGGATTTTTTTTTTTTTTGTTACTCATTCTTCATTTTTTTAAGGCAAGCAGAAAGTCCTTCTGGAATGCAAGAGGCAGGATCAGAATGGCAATAAAAGGAGGGGGGGAACTACCTTCAACACTATGCACTAGGTACAATTCATCCCTGCTAAAATCCTACTGAAACTAAAGGAGCTGCATCTAATTCCAGCTGCCTGAAGAGGGGTGAGAGATGAGCCATGGTGCTTCCTGGACCCTCTCTCTGCACCTGCCACTGAAGTCAGTGAAGCTACACCAGTGCACAGTTCCAGCAGCACAGTAGGGGATCAGGTCCAACAAAAGCCACCTACACGCTGCCCTTGCCACTGGAGACCATGTTTTAATGACACTGTGAACTGGACTCCAATCACAGCTCCTCATATCTACCCAAACAAGCAGAAGAATAATTGACAGCCCTACTTCTGCTCTTTTTCCCCTTCCTACTTCTGCTAAGGAATATCAAAACAAACACACACACCTTCTGAGTTTGTCTACAATTCAAAAGTTGCTTAACAAGTTTCTTGAATACTTCCATGAGGCCACAAAGCTGTTACTCAAACAATCATCACCCTCACATTTAAATCCTACATAACTTTGGATTTTTGGATGGTCCCTAGAACAGTCAAGTATACACCAAGGAATAGAATTAAAACCCATCCTGAGATGGAAAAAGAAAGAAGGGGGGGGAAGCCAACCAATACTGGTAGTTCTAGTTCAAAGCTAGAAGCTTCATCTTTGCTCCATAAACACCCATTAGGCTTTGCCCAGGGAATGGCATGGAAGTGGGACACACCAGTATCTGCTACCCAGAGTCCAGGCAGCTCTCCTCTTCCAGAGCAAGGACTGCAGGCCAGAGACCAACTCTTGCTCTCTTGTACATCAACATGCAAAGAAATCACAGCTGATGGCTCCTTCCATCTATTCTCAACCTGACTCAGTCTAAGGCAGAATCAGAGCACAGCACATCTCACCTGAGCAGGTTTGCTTTCCAGTTCACTTCATTAAGCCACTGAGATCCCCAGAGATTCTCTTCAGGGAGATGAGCTACACCCATGGTATATTAAGGTGTTCAGGCAACAATATCAAGAGTAGAAGAGTATTTCTGAATGGGGCTAATCAGCTGAAATCCATGTCAGACGTTCAGAATGGAATCTGCATCGCAGAGGAAGCAGTAAGAGGCAAGATCCTCCAAGGAGAAGAGGTATGCAGAGCCTTTCTACAAGGATGTGGAAAGAACCTACTCTGGACTGTAATGGGGGCCAGAAGCAGCAAAGTGTGGACAAGTACACCACCTAATTCACACATTCACAGGCCCTACTCCTTCCCCTCTTTTACAAGCTGCCCAGAGATTCAGTCTGCTGTAGGGAAGCATTCTGGAGCACTGCTCTGTGGTGTGCCAAGAGGGGAGTGGGCTTTGCACACGGTCCACCCATGTGGTAGGACCATAGAAGTTTCCAGCACTTCTTGGGCTTTGCATATTCATGCAGAAGGCTGGGGAGAAGACACAGTTCCTCCCCGCCACTCAACACAACGAAGAGCCTTAGATAATGAGCAAACAAACACCAAAAACACTTCATGTCCTGCACAGCGTCATCCTGCCGACTATGACAGAAAAAAAACCTAACCATACCAGTAAGTTTGCAGGTGTTACATGTACAGCTCGAGAGCATACTCCTACCCAATGGAGCACAAAGCAGGGCATGTGGCAAACAGCAGGCGAGAGACAAGCTGCTCTAGTTGCAAACTACTACCGAGGGTGGCGCGTCATTGGACGTAGCCCAGGTTCTCCATCTCGTTCCTGTAGCGCTGCTCGGACACTTTGCTCTTGTGCTGTTTGCTCTCCAGGTGCTGCCTGAACTCCAGCTCCTCGCTGGCGCCCGCGTTGCACATGGAGCAGTAGAACTGGCCGCTGGGCGTCACGCACATGGCCAGGTCACGGGGGATCCGCTGGCGCGAGCGGGGGTTGAAGTAGGGACCTGGGGAGCCAACAGAAAAGCCTGGGTTACCTGTAAGAAATCAAAGCTTGAGGCAGCTCAGTGACAATGCCTAAGTCCAATGAATGACTGAAAAGCAGACCGAGATTTGCTTCTTTAACAGATTGGAGTCAAGCTTTATTTTCCCCACAACTGCTCTGCTGATTTCCAGATTTACAGAAGTGCAGCACACAACACAGCACTTATAAAGTAGTAGAGTGGGTTTAATGCCCCAGTCTTATTGAAAACAGGAATCTAATAATTCAAGTAATTAATAAATTTTATTTTTTTCTTAACCATCTAATTCCAGAACTGGAACAGTCTTTTGATTAGAATAAGCTGCCTCAGTTTAAAGCTCACAAAATGGTATTTAATAGAGCTTGAAAAGATTTATCTTTTCCACATAACAGTGATTAGAATGACATGATTAAACCAAGCCTCACCAGGAATCAGAGTTTCAGCTAGTGTGTGCTTGTAAAACAACTTAAAATGAAAAAGAGAAATAGATGCCCGGCTGGAGGCTGTAATACACTCTTTAAATCATAGTAAAGAGGCAAAGTTAGTATCTAACACCTGAGGAAGGACTCTATGCTAGGAACAGATGGTCTTAGAGGGAGGCTAACATGCTCTCTCATTCTGGTCATGGGAGTGCAAGTACAGGTTGATGTGCCACAGTAGGAGTCAAAGCACCTTGGCCACCTGCCAAGAAAATAAAGCAGGAAAACTGTCACCACTTAGAGCAGCCTTAGAGACAGGCAGATGGTAAATTAAGTTACAAACTGAGAAAAAGAACTAACAAGCAGGCTGACAAAACAAAGCAACTTTAGCAGCTGGGGAAAAAAAGCCATGCAGATATGAAGGATCAGCAGAGCTTGGACCAGCTCCTTTTACAACCTCACTCTGCTAAAACAGACCTCAGAAACAGAAGATAAACAAGCCTATTTATTATTAATTACTATTCCAACTACAGAATAGATGCAATCTCCAAGTTACCTGTGTTGTTCTGAACCGCATACATGTTTCTTCTGTTCTGCATCATCTTATATTCATTCCCTTCTTTCCTTGCCCTTCGTTTGCCTAGTTCTGAGGCATCCCTGCAGATTAAACAAATGTGAACAGCTGCAATTCAGAGTTTTCTGACAAAAGGACTGCCAGGGACACTGCCACACGCTTTCAGCCTGAGATGAGGTTGAACAATACCTACGAGAATGAGTTATTCTGTGCCTCTGCAAGACGCAGCCGCTTGGCGTGATTTTTCCCTTGGTAGTGAGCCTGTGCCACAGCCGGAGAACTAAATGAGGCATCACAAAGCTTGCAGTAATCATTTTCTGTAGCCAAGATCACTCTGCCACCTGGTTTACTGGATCCCATCTAGCAGCAAAGAGAGAGACAGCATGTGAAATACAGGAAGGTTAAATTGCTGAAATATTTCAGTCACAGGGACTGAGATCTCTGCCGTCCTCATCAGACAGCAGGAAAGCTGGAATTAAAATCCATGGATTAGGACACTCTCAAGTTGTCCCCAAAGTGTTCTTACAAGAAATTCATCGTTCCTGCCTCGCCTCCAGGAGAGCCTGCAAATTCCTGGCCTGAGGTGGAGAGAAAAGCAATCTGAACAAATAGCTCTGCAACAGCCACAGAGGCTTGTTTGCATCACAGCAATGATTTAACTCCTAACTGCTGGGAGCTGATAAGCAGTGACTTTCACTCTGAGGAACACCCACTGAAAGGTACAGGTGCTTCTCTCCCCTATTTACAGTCCACTAATCTGTCCACAGCACCCTGTCTTTACACAGCTCCCTGACCACAGCAAGAGGAAAAAAAAACAGTAGCAAAGCTGCCAAACCTCTGATCCTTAACCTTCAGGCAGGAGGACACCTGGATCCAGACTTCAAAGGAAGGACCCAGTCTCACATGAGTAGCTCCTGCTATGTGAAGGACACCTTCATGTGTCTGGAGTCAGACCACATACAGTGATCCAGGCAGGAACCATGCCTCCTCAGCACGTAACATCCAGGGAAAAGTGTTTTGTAAACAGTGCAGCAGCAGTGATTCATGCAGCCATGTCACTGCAGCACTTGACAAGTCAACAGTCTTTCACATCTCCTTTGATACTGCTCAAACTTAGAGACACACAATTCTGATTTCTAGCTTACAATGTGAACCCTCACATGGCCCCAGAGGTATTTTTATTGCCACAGGCCATTTCCATTAAAAACCACACCACCAGACACCCTGGCAGGTGCAGCAGCCACATCCTCACGCCCTGGGCAGGACCCCACCCCATCCCAGTTCACATCCATGAGCTGCAATGCCAGTTTACACGGGGCCAGATTTCCCTCTGGCCAGGAACAGTCTGCCACTCTGCAAAAGCTCTCTGCTTCCCTACAGGCAACACAGGCTTACGTTGTGGGGACTGACAGACACAGCTTCAATCCCCGTGGCCCAGCTGTGCTTCCCTGCACAGGCACAGGCAAAAGCCAGGCTAGCTGTCACATCTCATGATAAACCCAAGGCATGAATTCTAGAAGGAGATAGCAAAAACCATCTCTTTTTTCCTCTAATGTGCCCAAAACAGAATTAATCTGGATCACTGAGGGAACAATCCATTCACTCCGCACACAGGAATGAGCACTTCAAAAGGAGCAACAAAAGAGGAATTAGCTAACAGCCCTGGGCAATGGGTGTAGGAGCACCAAAGCACTTTTTCCACGTAGGTTTCCCTCACACAACTGCGGGATGATTGTGCAGAGCAGATGCCACACCCTCACATCCAAATCCAATTCCAGCAATGCTGTTTTATACCTGCCCTTACACAGCTATAATCAGCAGCACATCAGACGTACCTAGGAATCAAAGTATTTGCCAGGCAGAAATAGAACATTTGAAGTCCAACATTGTGCTGCAAGGGCAGATCAATATCTGCATCTTCAAGGGAAAGCAAACAGCTCACAACGGGCCATTTCCACCATCCTGTGTCACCACAAGGAAAATTCTTTCCCAACTCCTGTGGTAATCCTCAAAGCCTGAGATTTGGTTATCCTTACTGAAGGTTAGGTGACAAGCAAGCATGATGTCAGTCCTGTTGCCATGCCTTACCTGAGTTGGAAGGGAGACAACCTGAGGTGGGGCAGGCTCAACAGAATTACTCATCCTGGCAGGTGCCGGACAGCTGTTGGCAGCATAGTAATTCCGGAGTTTCTTACTGTGGTTTTTACCCTGCAAAGACAACCCAGATTAATCACTGTTCTAATAGTAGTATTTTACTCTGAAACACAAAGGATCCAGAGACTGAAATGAGAAAGTGCCCATGAAGGTGGCAGCTCAGGTAAAGGAGCTGTCACCCAGCTCTGAATTTAAGAGATGCAGGCATTCCTCCCTTTCTCCAAAATGCTTAACACCGAGAATGACTGGGCCTCATCTTCAGCTGATTTTCTCAATAAGTTTACAATTACTTTTTCAGTCTGTTTCTATTCACTTAAACCCAGTATTTTGTGTTTTAAGACTATCAATGCTTTGCACAGTTTTTTAAAAAGCCTGAACACACAACACAGATTTCATGAGACTGCAAGCTTGAGTTAAAACATGAGATTGAACTTAAAAACCACTTCATATTTTCTCTTGAAAAACATATACCATAGATGTTTTTGGTGTTCTGAAAATCTGATAGAATAACATGAGACTGTATATATGCATATTGTGGATGCATAGTAAGTCAAATGCAAGTTATGTAAAAATTTACTTCTGTCCCCTCAAGGCAGAAATTCTGCAGAAATAAGATGTTAAAAGTGTAACACCAATCCAACCTACCGCTTCACTAGCAGAATACCACTTTTTCAGGGCCAACAGCAAATCTGAAATCTGGGTCTGGTGTCCTGAGTTTATGGACAACCACCCTTTTACATTCACTGGTGGAGAAAGTCACTGTCTCCAATACTCATGCAAACAGAGCACTAGGCAGAGAGGGTGTAGGAAAATGGGATAATGCAAGGCTGACCTGTTCTATCTTTCACCAAGAAGCATATGCAAAAAGTCCTTATCCTATTTCAGACAAGTCAACAAGATCAGCTTTACAAAATAAATTTGATCTGAGCCAACCCAGCTGATGAGAGTGGTTGCTTAAAAGGCCCCACCAGATCAGTGCTGTGCATAGCCTCAGAAAGGAGACCCTGATAAACACATGGCAGCAGCCTCTTTCCTAATGGCTAGATCCAGCAGAAAACACCTGTCCAGGCCTCACAAAATCATGTCTGGAATCCATTTTACTAAACTAGTGTAGATGTCAAATACAGGTTGCATAAAACAAAGGAAAAATCACAAGTGTCTGCTTTTTCACCCATGCCATCTTGGCACCACTTCTCTGTCCTCATGGACAGTGTTTTTGCAAAAAGCTCCAGTAACAACACCTTAAAAGAAAGCACTGCAGCATGTCTGGACAACCAGCAAACCCAAGCAGGGTGAAGATATGTCTACAGAGCAGTTTCAGTCCATGAGGTGGTGCAGAGGAAGCTCCAGATGAGCAACTTGAATGCTGCTGTTCGTGTGCAGCACTCAGAACCCCCTCGAGAAGCTGAGTTAGTCCTCCTGCATTAGCCCACACTTCCCTCTGTGCTACCACAGCAACGCTGCTGGCAGTGCTCGTGCTGGCACGGGAATGTCTCCACAAGCTGCAGATGCAGCAGCCCCAAAAGCTGAGCCTCCTGCTGCTCTCCTTACCTGGTAATGAGCCTGGGCTTGCTGGGCCGAATTCAGAGTGACATTGCAAAGCTTACAGCACAGGGGCTTACATAGTTCCTCCAGCATAGGGTCCTGCTCCACCACCTTGGCAAGTTCCTCTTCTTGTGTGTGATGAAAGGAAGGCCCCAGTCCGAGAGACTTTGGTGGGGACAGTGGTGAGCTGGCTCTTGGCCTTGTAGCCACTGACATAGGAAGGGATGAAGGCTTCTCAGGATGAGGAAGAAGTCCTGCTTGCTGTAGAAGAATCATTGGCCAGGAAGACTATGGGCATGCTACTGCTGAAGGAGGAGGAGTCTTCTTCTGACCTAGACCAGAAAGACATAAATGCTGAAATAAGCAACAAGAACAGGAACATCAAGGATCCAGGGGCAATTCCTGTAACTCCACAGCCTCTACTTCATGCCTTTTCAAAATGCCAAGCAGGATAAAGTCAGTTTGCAACACTTTACCGCCCACGGGAACAGCAGCATCCCAGACAACCAGGGCCAGATGACAAGATACTTATATAAGTGGGTCCCCTGGCAGGTGAAGATTTCTGACACCCACAGCACCTGACAACAGCACACTCTCCCCACTGCTCCATGGCCATGAGAAGTGGGGACATACACCATGCACAGCACACAGAGCCGTGTCACTGGGGGGATACAACCACCACCCACATCCTCCTTTGGGAGCCCAAGGACAAGCTCACTCCCAAGGACCTAAACAAGTATTACAGCAGACTACTGCAATGAACATTTACAAAGAAACCAAATACTTCAAAGTAGATTTATTGTATATAGGTAGATGCAAAATACATAAATGCATCTATCCCTCAAATACTCACAAAGACTTTCCTGAGGAAAAGCTTTTCTCCAGTAAGACAACAAAAGAGAAAGAATGGGAATGAGCTGGAGCACACCTTGTTGTACACTCAGCTCCCAAGGGCTCTCTCCCATGGTCTTCTTGAACGACCTTGAGCTATTTTTCACATTTCCATTACTAACTACAAGCAATGCAACATTTAAAGCTACATCTTCTTCTGCAAAATGGAGAACTTATCACATATTGACCTTTATTCAATTATTTCTCAGTTAATTCAAGTTATTAGAACTAGCTCCACATTTCCAACAAGAGGTTCTGAGAGATTTATCTAATTAAAGTTTATAAATCACATCTACAGCCCAGATGAACATCCCTAGGATAATACAGAGCAGTGGCATTATGAATTAAGGCATAGCTACTTTTGTTCATGCCTTATTAGCTTCTTATCATAACAAATCCTGTTCAGTGCCACACTGGGATCAAGAGAAGCATTATCTTGGCCTTTGCAGATCATTCCCAGCTAGGGCTGCATTGGCACCAACCATGTTTATGCTCTGGGCTTTGTTCATTTGTTTAAGCAAATAAAGAGACACATCTGCATTTTAAAGCAACACTTGTGTAAAATTAGGGAAAAATAAATGAAATGCCACCAAGGAATTTTGTTCCTGAGTCACTTTTGAAAATAGGGACTTCAAAGGCATTTAGGAACCTGAAGAAGCAGATAGCATTTATCTGGGGTAACTTCCGGGATTTTCAATCTGCTAAAATTAGCTGAAGATAAATACCTTCCACACTCAAGCTATGGAAAATCCCAGTTGAAGCTTGCAATTTTAGGTACTGTGTTATCTTTGGATCTCTGTTCCCAGAGAGATCTGTGTTCTGTTAGGAAAAATAAAACATAATTTAAACGAATGAATGGGACTAAAGCATTCAAGTGACAAAATAATTTCTGAAATGTTTATCTCAAACCCAAACTTACTCTAATACAAGACTGGAGGCAGTTCACCTATTACTAATATTAAAGGTAAGGAAAAAAAATAAAATTATTAAAATAAAAAAGGCAGTATGGACTGGCTTGGGGACAATGTTTCAAGGCAGTAACAGAGCCACCATGAGTCTTCATGTTTATATTATTCCTCCATCACCAAGGCTCTGCAAAATTTCAGAGCTGGAATCCACCACAAAGAAGGAAGAGGACACACAGGAATGGTGCTGCAAATCATCCATCAGCAGTGTAAATTCTGTAGTGTTACCTAACCCCTTTCCTATTTTCAGCACGCATGACCCTGGTTAAACAGAACAGAAGACAACTTTTTTATCTTTATTTTCCTCAACTAGTACTCTGTAGACAGTCTAATTAATTTCTGTGGGACTACAGATGGAATAAGTTCATATTCATGTTGGTTCAATACATCACAACACAGGCCTACCAAGGCAGTTTAAATCAACTATGCAAGCAGGTAAGTATGCCAGCTAATTTCAGAGTTTTATTACACGAGTATAATGGGCCTCTTACCTTAAAATGAGAGTAAATTATAGCCAAATACTTCATAGAGCAACATAAAGAGATGTACAGTGAATAGCAATTGAGATTCATCTGCTTAATTTTGCATGAGCATTTGTTGCATTGCATTTTCTTGCAATTGTCACAAATGGGATTTGTCATATACAAGAGGAAACAGTGCTTACAGGATCTATATCTACAGGAGAAAAGGTACAATGTAATATTCTTAGAAAATCTTTAACTGTGAGGTCATTTACTGTTTCTTAAAGTAAGCAGTTGTCTGAAGATAAAATTAAGACTGCATGAGCAATTTCCACAGTAAGACTTCTTGATTTGGCTTATGCATTGTATGTAATTCTGATTTTCCTCTGACAGTGATCTTTAATCATTAAAATTGCTCAATTTATGTTCATTTCTCTCTTATTGGTATTATTTATAAGGAAAAGAAAAATCAGCTTATTTTTCAGGTTCCTTTAATCCTCCACTGCTGGTTGTTACAGCTACCCTGCCCAGGAGAAGGAAAAAGAACATTTTTAACTCCTCGTTTCCCTTCACATGAGAAGCTGTAAAACCTTTACCTTGGGACACAGCAAAGGAACAAGGCACCTCCATCAGCAGGGAGCCCAACCAGCACAGCCCAAGGCAGGGTAAGGACTGCAGCTCCCCAGGGTGAGCTGAGGAGCCATTCTGCCTCAGGACAGCAGCTCTCAGAGCTCAGGATCCACTTCCACCCCATGCCAGCTGTCCTTGAGCGGATGAGAGAGGGACAGGTGCCAAGCCCTTCTCCCTCCTTTCACTGGGGCATCCCAAGGGCAGCGCTGAAGGAGGAGACCCGGCTCCCTGAGTGCCACAGCCTGGCAGTGCCCACCTAAAGGGGAGCAGCCTCCCCGGCTGACAACAGCACACAGCGGGAAAGGAGCTGCTCCGGCCTCACATCTAAGGATGGGGAGGGCACGGCGTGACTTTCCTTGGAGAAAAGAATAATCCACAGTGAGAAATCTATGTGTTCCCACCAGAACTGTTTTTTAAATGCAGCTGAGGCAACCAAGAACAGAGATGAAAGCTGTAGAAATGGTGAACAAGCTGCGAGTTTCACTGCTCTGTCTTCAAGACAGGAAGCATTTCCCCTCAAGTTCACTCATCTATCGATACATGGACATCTCTTAATGTAATTGTGCCAGAAAGTTTCCTTTGGCCATGGACTGGGCCTACACCTTTCCCCCTGAAAGGCAGGTTGTTTTATAACGCTGCAGGGACTGAAGGCAGCACCAAACCAACACACAGCATGCACAGCTCTCCCTTAGGGTGCTGACCCTCCGCTGATGGGGATACACATTTAGCAGCTCAGAACCATCCCTTACGTCAACGGGGCTATCAGAAACCAGGGTGTAAATCACGACTCCTCGCAGGCATTCCTGCAAAGCTGCTTGCCTCGCAGTCTGGGGGGCTGCAGAGCAATTAAAAACCACAAGCCCTGCTACCTTACTGCCTGGGAACCACCGCAACCTCACGGCACCGCCGCACCGTTCCGGGAAGGCGCAGAGCACAGCCGGGAGGCAGGGACAGCCATCCGCATCCCCCGAGCGGCTCGGAACGCGGCGGCAGCGCCACCGGGGCGACACCCCCGGCACCGCCCGGACCCCAGCCCTGCCAGCCCCCCGCGCACACCCCGCACCTACCGCGGACCGGGGCTCGCAGGGCCGGGCCCGGCTCGGGCTCGCACTCAGCTGCGGGAAGTGACGGCGGCGGGGGCGGGACGGGGCTGCGCCCGCCGGGCCGGGCTGAGGCGGGGCCGCCGCCGCGAACAGCCCCGCGCCACCGCGCTCCGGGCATCGCGGGGAAACACCCTCCAGGGGCTGCTTCAGATGGTATTCAGGCCTGACCCGTGGTTCTGCACAAGGCCATTTAGTATTTTTTCTCTTTTTTTAATAATTATCTTTTTTTTTTTTTTCCCCACAGCAGACGTTACAATGAACTTGATTTGCATATATAAACATCTTCTTATTCATGCTGCTCGTAGCCAAAATGAGTAATGATTTCCCCTCGAGCCACCAAGGCCTCACCCGTGTGGTTGGGCCACCCTGTTTCAAAGCATATGGAGTTTCTGTTGATTTTTCTCCCCTTCTGTTGGAATAGGAAAGCGCTGAGAAGTCACTACAGGCTGAAACCATCACCCTATTTTACAGTAGCAACCCACTTGGCAATCCAATCCTTAGACACACTGATTGTTACTAATTTTTGTTAGATTTTTTTTTAAAAAATCTATTTGTCAGGTTCACAGAATCATAGAACAGTTTGGCTTGGAAGGCCCTTAAAGACCACCTCATTCCAACCCTCTTGCCATGGACAGGGACACCTTCCACTAGCCCGGGTTGCTCCAAGCCCTGTCCAACCTGGCCTTGAACAATTCCAGGGACGGGGCAGCCACAGCTTCTCTGGGCAGCCTGTGCCAGGGCCTCACCACCCTCACAGTCAAGAATTCCTTCCTAATATCTGATCTAAATCTGTCCTCTGTCAGTTTAAAGCCATCTCCCCTTGTCTTATCACTACATGCCCTTGTCAAAATTCCCTCTCTGGCTCTCTTGCAGGCTCCCTTTGGGAAGGATGCTGCAGGTCGGAATCAGGAGCCGTGGTGATGTGGAGCCGAAGCAGCAAAGGGGCAGTTTGCCAGCAGGAATGCTCCCGGAGCCTGCTCTGCCCTGGGTTTGTTGGGTGTGTTCTGCCATGCCCTGCACGGCTGGTGCTCCCACCTACAGCAGTGCTGCCTGCAGCATCTCAGCCTGCCCACGGCTGTGAATGCGGCCCTATGCTAGACCCTGGGGCTTGGAGAACTCTTCCAAGTAAGAGACTTCACCAACGCCCTCACCATGTTCATACCTGGCTCCAAAACTTGCTTATGCCATCTCCGTTGTTGAAAGGATAAATACCCCTTGACAATAGAGTGATTTGCCAAAACGCCTTAACAATTAATAACCCAGGTTAACCGTGTCCCTCCTCCCTGTCATCACCTCAGTGCCACCCTCACTTGTTGCATCTTGTTGACTCTCACTGAGGTACCCCAGCCCGGCGCTCTCACTTCACACCCTGAAAACCCACACCCACTCGGGAGTGCGTATTTACAATATTATTTCTCTTCGACTTCTCATTTGTACGGGCATTCTCTTAGCGGGCCACTCTTTCAACAAAACACCGGACTCACGTACAGCAACTTGATGCCAGTGGCAGCTGACTGTAAAGAAACCTGGAGGTCCAAGTGGGGAAAAGGGTCAGGACTGGGCCAGACGAGCTGCGATGTGCAGGGCGCGGGGGTGTCAGCGACATCAGGGCAACAACCGGGGCAGGACGAGCCCGTGATTGCCCAGCACACCCCGTTCCCCCGGCCCCACGCCCGCCTCCCCCCTCCGCGGTTCCCGTTCCGGCGGGCGGTGCCTTCCCCATCCGGGGTCAGCCCCGCTCCCTTCCTGTTATTCCCGTGCGGGAGGCGGCGGCTGTCGGGGAGCGGCTGCCGGCGCCGCTGCCGCCCGCGCCCGGGGCACAGGCACCGGCCGAGGCGAGCGGGGCGGCCGGGCGGGTGAGGGAGGCGGGCGCGGCGGGGGTCGTGAGGGGCCGCTCCCGGAGCGCCGCTCGCTGAGGGGGCTCGGGCGGCAGCGCGGGGCTGAGGGGCCGGGGGGCTGCGCTCGGCCGGCAGAGCTCCCCCGCCGCATCCCGCGCTCGGGGTGCTGGCAGGGACGCGACCCGGGAGAGGAAGAATAGCGGCTTGTTGTTTTCCAGTGTGGGTGTCTCCACCCCTGGAGTGGAGCTGTGTGCTGTGAATGTGCTCCGGCAGTGCCGGGATGGGGCTGGGTGATGCCGCTGGGAGCGGAGCCTCTCCCGATGGGTGTGTGGGGATCCTGGCACACAGCTCCTGCTTCCAGATGCGCTCGGCTGACAGTAGCAGTGCCTCGTCCCTGCTACTTGTAAAACCTTCTTTCTTATTTTATACTGCCCAGAGATCAGTCTGTACTCATGTTAGAGATGAAACTGCTGTTTCTTGTCGGTATTTGTGTGTTTTCTGGTAGACTCTATATTAGCAAAACTTTGGCCAAACTAACACAAACTGCCCGTTTGTTTTTCTTTGGGGGTTTTGTGGCTGTTTTCAGTACTCCTTAAGTTATTGAGATATCAGGTCAATTGCTTCTGTAGCTGTTATGGCTATGTCTCTAATTTTCTTTTGTATATTTCGTTTCTTTTTTGACTAAAGGCCTGATTGAACTAAGGTTAATTTATAAGCAGTACCTATTCAGAACAAACAAGAGGCGAGTATATATATTTTAAAAATAGACAGTAGATAGTATGATGCTTTTCTTGATTTAATTCTGCAGCAAACTTATAAAGGAGTGGAAAATTGGGTTCTGAGTTAGATTTTGTAGAACTTAATAGAAACTTAATAGTTTTGTTAGTTCTTTGTACCTTCACATCCCTGTTTTGAGCTGTTCAAATTTATCATATTGGATAAAGTTAGAAACTTTCCCATCATGATCTGACTCATTCTTTAGTTTCTTCCATCTCACAGTTAATTTATAGAGGTGTACTCATACTTGTTGCTTCCATGCTGCAATTCTATAATGTAATGTAATAATCAAAGTCCACTTCTTGTGTGTAAACTTTGTTAGTTCCAGGGAATATTCCAGTGTGCAGGGTGATGGGATTTAATAATGTGTCTGCTATGAGGAACTGACTGGATAAGCTCTTCTAAAATAAATCGCCATATGAACTTAAAGCTTCACAATAAATAACTTTATTCTCAAAGAATAGCGCTGGAAAACTTTCAGAGTTGTTCCTTATTTAGAAGCGTATTTTAGCCAATGTAGAGAAAGCACACATCAACTAAGCTCACAATGTTCACAGAGGAATTTATGAAACCACACAATTCCTATGGGATCCATGGAATATTCCACTTCTTCATTGGGACAATAAATGCAGCAGGTCAAGAGCTGCAGTTGGAATTTGACTGGTGAGATGCCCTGAATTTCCTAGGTGTTAACTTGGTGCCATTCTTAGCAACCTGGAGACAGTGCTTACTGTTTTCTCAGGGCAGGAGAATCCCATCCTACAAATCCATGCCAAAATGTTTTAACTGGCTGCTCCAAGTTGTCATTCTGTATCAATGACAAGTTTATTCTGTTTGTGGTTGCATTTACTGCGTGAGTGATAGCTCTGAGAGAGTTTTTTGGGGTTTGTTTCTTTTTTTTTTTCTTCTCCTTTCTAGAGTATTCTTTGGAAAAGGGGGTGTAGCTGATTTGTTTACAAAGCAATTGTGCTTTATTGGAAGTCATAAAGTGGTTCAATACTTAGTTTATTGTTTATCTGATAATCAGGCTATTCCTGCTTTCTGTGAGCAAATGGGGGATACTTTTTCCTGGATAACTCTTTTTTAATAGTTGTTCAAAGCTTTAGAAGATTAATTTCTGCAACCAGCAAGGAGTTCATGCTTTACCCTCATGTTATCTCACAAAACAAACTGAGTAACCTCACAGGAGGTTTCCAGTTATTGGAAGAAAAGCACACCTTTAGAAGGTGTTGTGGCATAAGGAATGGACTTTCTGATCCACAGATCTTCAGGTTTTTGTGTGTGTGGTGTGCTTGGCTTGCTCATGTTTGATACAACTTGGAACAACCTTGGTGATCACCATAACTTTAATTTCTTTCTGAGTTAAAATTATCTATAAATGACTAGACAACAAGCCTAAGGCTGACATGCAGTCTGCAAAAACTGCTTTCTTATGTTTTGTACTTAAAACATCCACTCATTATGCAACCTTTGAGATTTCTGGTGCAGATTCTCTGGGTGTCAGGAATACCCTGAACACCTTGCAAATATCACTCATTTCCAAATGGAAGATTGTTGCTATTGGTTTTGTCTGCCTGTTAGGGGGAGAGGAAATTGGGATGATGATGCATTAGTTCCAAATCACACAAGAAGTAATAGCAGCTCTGGACTGGTATCATTAGCTTTGCTTTGCCTAGCTGAGTACATTAATGAAGATTAACAAAGATTGTAGTTAATAGGACATTTGAGGAGTGTTGTGTTTGGGTAAGAGGGAAGAAGTAATAGCAGCTCTGGTCTGGTGTCATGTAGCTTTGCTTTGCCTAGCTGAGTACATTAATGAAGATTAACAAAGATTGTAGTTAATAGGACATTTGAGGAGTGTTGTGTTTGGGTAAGAGGAAGCTAAGATACTTTGTTTTTACTTCAATAGGGATGCACAAACTGATTTTGTTATTTATAACTGGACAAAAATAATCCTGTAAAACTTGTCTTTCTAGTTTAGTCTTCAAATACCATTACAAAACTTAAGTTTTGTCTTACTACTTACTGGTTTGTAATTACTGAAAATTTTGTGAGATCTAGTAAATCCTCCCCACTGAGAAAAAAGTGGGCAATATCTGCATTTTTTTGTGTGTGATGGAGTTGGAGGGGGAGCACTTGGAGGGAAAGGATAAGAGTTTGCACATTGGCTAACTGGAGAACAGATGTGGCTTCTAGTGTGAGCTAAGGTTTGGGGGGTTTGCAGCTTTTTATGCATTGCATTCCATGCTTGTGGGAGTTTTGTCTCATCCTTTTAGAAAGCCAGACATCCAGCTGCTCCAAGGGGATGATGCCTGTCTGCAGCTATGACTAGAAGGGGCC